CTTCTTCTTCTTCTTCTTCTTCTTCTTCTTCTTCTTCTTCTTCTTCTTCTTCTTCTTCTTCTTCTCCTTCTCCTTCTCCTTCTCCTTCTCCTTCTCCTTCTCCTTCTCCATCTTCTTCTCTTCTTTTTCTCTTCTTCTTCTTCTTCTGCTTCTTCTTATTTGTTGTTGTTTACCTATTAATGTATTTTTCAGCAAATATTCCTGGGCATGTGATCTTTGCCAGACTCAGAGGGTTTGACAGAGAGTAGGTAAATTTGTCCCCTACATGTCAATAACTTTTTTCTTTAGTCAAAGAAGACCAGTAGTGAAAACATAAACTAATAAATGACCAAAGTCTTTGAGAATCTAAGGACATAGAGCAAAACATCTGCTAGGCTGGTTTGCAGAGATGTCTTAGAAGAGGTGACAGTAGAAGGCAGGAGTTTACAGAACCAGAGGGGAAAAGGTGACCAGGCAGCATTAAAACAAGTACAAAGACTTGGTGTGGCAAAACATCTCTGTGAGCTAAAACGACATTAGGGTGTCCAGCACTGAGCTGAAGCAGGAGACATGAGCAGAATCCCAAACCTAAAGCCTGTACAGGTCAGTGAAAAGAACCAAAGTTTGCTCTCCATATGAAGGAAGCCACTGAGCGGGTTTCAGTGTGAGAGCGCAATGATTGGAATGGTCGTATTGTGATCACTTCACATGAATTCCCTTAATCTTCATTCTTTATCCCTTGAGGTAAGCTTGATTAGCAACATTTCAGTGAAGAGAAAAAGTATCTCAGATAACGGCTGACTAAAGCTGGCATTGGCCTTCATTGCCTTTGATCATTTTTCTGAGCTATACCCTCAATCTTTTTCTTGGTCTTTCTGCTGAATCATGCTGCTCTGGAACCCTAACACAATGGTTTCCTGTATCCCAAAACCCCACATTGTCCCAAATTCATGACATGACCTCCTAATAGGTCATTTTTGTCCCTAGTCAGTGGTTTTATCTGGAGAACTATGTCCATTTTCCTATTTTCTTGCTGAAAATTTTAATTTACTCCTACAGAGCTTCGTATTTGGGGACCTATTTTCTGATGTACTCATTTCACCAAATAAGGCTTTGAGTTCCTAGGCTGACAGATCCCACTTATTTGTGGCCACATTACAATCTCTACTTATCACTGCCACTACTCTAGGTCATACTCTGCTTCCAGGGCAAGGCTACATAACACCTGTTTTGTATCAGACCCACTGCTAGGTGCTGAGAGAACAGAAAGAACAGGACAGACCCAAGTGGAGTGTTTCATGACACTTGAAACATTTAAAGCTATACTATAAAATTAGCTGCATCTTTTAGAACACAATAGAGGCAGCAGTGATTAGGAGTCTCCTAGGAAACTGAATCATGCAACTAGCAGTCCTCAGCCCCATGCAGTTATTACTTTGTTTACATATATGATATGCCATATCTAGGCTTGAATGAGATTGAAATATATTCCAAATTAAAAAGACCAATACTGGTAAATGAATGTTCTTACCTTTGTACTTCAAAATGACAGTTCTGACACATCCCCCGCATACTGCATTTTTTTTTCAGTTATTGCACACACGTAAATAGCATCCTGTTATTGACCAGCCTCTGTGTGCCATGAACCGTGCTGGGCATTTTCTATAGATTTCTGCTCACCATTACCATCACCCTACACAGTTAGATTGAGCTCTTCACTCCAGGTACAGATTAAATAGCTGGTCTGTGGTGAGCAGAGGATGGGAGCGGCAGAACGAGGGACTCAGACTTCTCAATGTCTTTAGCCAAAGCTTCTAAGCTTTTGTCTACCTTGTGTGATTATCCAATGGTTTTCTCTTTAGAATGAGTACCTCTTATCTCCAATAAAATTCCAGGGCAACTCTTGATATTAACAGCTGAGAGGACAGCTGCCACGGCTTAAAGGAGGCTGAGGTCCAGAAGCTGATTTTAGTCATCACACCCACCACCACCACCAGAGGCTAAGCAGAGACCGTTGAAGGCACCTGGGCCTACAGAATGTTCACAGGCTTATCTTCTGCACAGTGCTGTTCCCATTGGGTAGATTCTTCATCGGGGCACACAAAGCCAGGGACAGAGCTGCCCAGCACTGCCACTGCCCATGAGTCAAGCCTGCCGGAATGACCAGACACACCAAGAGGAATGCAGAGTGTGACACAGTGCTAGGCAGCTTCCAGAATAACATATTCAATGTTAGGCTCTACAATTCAAAGGGCCCCATTCAAAAGGAAAAAGAATCTTCGCAGAAGTATCAAAGTAGAGAAGATTCAAATGTATTAAATCCTCCCCCAAAGAAAAGACAAGGATGGTTAAACCCACAACTGGGATTAGACATAGGATAGCAATTACTTGCTCTACATTTTCTCTGACTCTAGAACATGAAAATAGAAACCATTTCAAACTAGGGCATTTAATCTGATCGAGTGGCTTTACTAAGTCTTCAGTTATTGGACTAAACAATTTCCTTTCCTCGAAAAAATTAAAAATGGAGGCAAACATTATAATTGAGGGGTGGAGAAGGTAGTTTGGTTATCTTAAACTTCAGTGTTTCCAGAGGAGAGCAAGGGACCCATGTTAGAGAACCTCAAAAAGGGCTACTTCTGATGTACTGGGAGGGTTTTGAGAGTGCAAATACTGAGGTAGAAGGACTTGGGTTCAGTTTTAGGTTTGTTTTTTTGTTTGTTTTTTATAG